TTAAAAGTTGTTTTATCCATTTACAAAATTGTACTGTACCTTCAATTAGGAGTAAAATCTATAAGGAATAAAATATACTACAACCAATGCTTTCCATTTGAAACTAAATGTTTAAAATCTTGAAAATCCCCAAATTCAAAAACTGAAAACATCTCAATTCATGAAATTCATTCATCTTATAAAAGACAATTATAGAAGACAACAATTTAAAACTTTTTTTATCTATTTACAAAATTGAACTGTACCTTCAATTAGGAGTAAAATCTATAAGGAATAAAATATACTACAACCAATGCTTTCCATTTGAAACTAAATATTTAAAATCTTGGAAATCTTCAAATTCAGAAACTGAAAACATCTCAACTCAAGTTGCAGAATATAAATTTATAAATAGATTACGTTTTTCTCATAAATATATTAAATCTAAGTACTATTAGGCTTACACTATATACTTATAGGTGTAATTAGTTTAAGTCTATATCTAATTATAAATATTATCACTTGATATTGAAAATCATATTGAAATTAATTCATCTTATAAAAGACAATTATAGAAGACAACAATTTAAAAGTTGTTTTATCCATTTACAAAATTGTACTGTACCTTCAATTAGGAGTAAAATCTATAAGGAATAAAATATACTACAATCTCTTGGAAATCCTCAAATTCAGAAACTGAAAACATCTCAACTCAAGTTGCAGAATATAAATATATATATATAGTAATTGGATATAAACTGCGATTCGATCCGTTGATCCAAGCAGAGATCATCCACTTTCGCGACCGTCGTTACATAATTTCATTAAAATTAAACCTTCGAGTGAGTCGCAATTAAATTTAATGGTTCCGCTTTATAAACACGGCTTAAAGGCGGCGGCGACACAATATAATAATACTCGAGCGCAATTATTTCCCCTCCTATTATTCTACACTTTGTAATTGAAATTTGCATGCAATAAAGAAAACGCAATAAGACAATGAAAAAAACAACAAAAACAACAACAACAAAAGAAGGATTTAGTAATAAAAAAAAGTACAAACAGAGAGAAAATAAATGAGGAACGTGTGCGGAGACAAATAAGAAGTGCAGACTTGATCCATGAAACAAAAGTCAAGTCTCAATTACTTTCAGAGAACAGCTTGCGTTTTCTTTCTTACCAGTTTTTTTTTGTATTCCACTCTCGAGTATTAAAATTAATTCGGATATAGTCGACGTGGCGTTTTCTTTCTCTCTAATCATTAAAATATGTTAATGCGATGTTATGCAAACTATATTATATACTTATTGATTGCTCTTGTTTTTACGTTGAAGGAGAAGAGTGTGAGGTTTAGTAATAAATCGAACGTTCATTAGTTTGAGTTTCGCTAGCTGGCAAAAGTTCAGCTGCAGCGGAAACTGCTTATCAGGTATATTTTCCTATGATTCGAAGTCAAATAGAATAATGAATTTTTATTCTCGTTGATTGTTAATAAATAATCAAAATTATGCAATTAAAGATACCAGAGTTTGTTATTCCTGATTAATTATGAATTAGTTCCATTTCTTGCTGTTTTCTCTGCTCTGTTTCCTTAACATTAAATATGTATTCTTTTACTTTATTCGTCCTTTCATAAACGCGAAGGAGTGGCTCGGGTGTCGTGATTTATTAGGGGGCATTTCTTTCGTCGGGGTTGGGAGCCCTTATCGGATGATTTACAATTCAAAACAGTTACTTTACGTGTAAATAAAATCTACGCAAAGCACGAAAATAATTATGGCAGTGAGAGTAAAAGAGAGAAACCGGCACCACTATGTATTCAGAGCCAGGAGCCCTTTTGTTCCTTCGCTTTTGTTACAAACTGCAAATATTTAAGCGACGCATTCATGATTTCATTTACAAGATATAAAGCAAATCTGCAATATTTTTCGCCTTCTACGTCTCTCATTTGATACCACCACACACTTTGCAAACTTCGTCATCTTTTCAAAGAATAATAACTCAAATCTAAATAGAATTTTGATTTACTTTTTACTTAGTTTTATATAATGTAATAACTAAGAATAAAACAATTGTTACTTTATAAGAATTAAAGATTTCTGTGATAATGAATATTAAGTGAAGACATGAAAATTAAAGTGAAAAACACTAGAAAAAAATTTATTTATTTCTAATTTTATGTAATATTTATATAATAATAATACAAAAGTTTGGATGTTTTTAAGAGAAAAAGGCTTATTATTTTACGACAGTATTAGATTCTAGCAAAACAGGGTCGTAAAATGAAACTCTTGACATATTCCTCACACAATGCAGCACTAGAGAAAAATGAGCAAAGTGTTTCTTCTGTGTTGTAGTTTATTTTATTGTCCTCGTGTTTTCTTTCATTTCATTCATTTTTAGGTCATGCGAAAAGTAATAAAGTTTACAACCATAAAACCTATATTTTACAGAATTTAATGTTTCAATACAATTTATTGAATGAAGGTTGAGCGAAATATCTTAATTAAGCTAATAATCTAAAATTGATCAATATTCTACAAATATCTCTGGGCTTGAGTTATGACTTTGTGGAGTCCTAGTGGAGTTTTTCAGGAATGCTGAATGCTTCAGGTGAAGTTGGAGTTTTTTATGATAATAAACACTTTATTATTCACTAGAACATTATTAATAACTTCTATGTAAAGATTGCAGTTGCTAGGCACTAAGACTAATACTAACTAAAAAAAATCACTGCTTAAATTTGAAATCTTATTACAGAAAATTAGAAAATATGAGACATTTGGATATAGGTTTATTGGAAAGGCTACAGTTTTGTCTTCATTGTGCATAAGTGTTGGAGTAATGAGTACGTGGAATTATGGAGTAATTAAATAAAACGTGAAGACGTGAAAAAAAATTAGAAAAATCGTAATATATTTGATAATTACATAACATTACTTAACAGCAATAGATCAAAAGATGCGTCTCAAATTACTTCTTCAGATACAATTATAATTTATATAGAATTAAAGGATCGTTGAGGCAATTCCAATTTGAAAGTTCAATTAAGTTGTCAACGTAATAAATGTCATCGCCCACGTACGTGCGAAGTATTCCTTTCCTCAATTTCCTCTGCCCGAGGAGGAAAGAGAACGATCACGATGTAATAATAATAATGGTATATTTGCGGTGAAATTCGTCTAAATATACAAAAAAAAAATACGATTTTGATCCCTAATTGTTGCGGAAAACCGTCGTCATTTCGTCCACGTAATCATAAATCCGGGTTATTTTTCCGCAGCGCTTTTCGGGGCTGTACATTTCATCCATCCATCCATCTATTCCGGTTCGTGTTTGCTGATATAAATGCTTTCATTGCAATTGAAAGAGAAAATCTACAATGCGGGATTCATCCGCTGTGAAATTCTGAATATTGAAAAGATCAAAGTGTTTCACTTATTTATATTTATATACATACATATACATATATATATAAAGACGGCGTTGTTTGATCTGACAATATTGTGTTGACGTCTGGGTTTTTCGTGTCCCTTTTAAAATCCAATTATTTCAAGTATACAAATCGCATTTGTTCATAAATACAATTCTTAAAAAATATATTTATATTTTTTGAACGTTTATAAGTGAACTGTTTATTTTTATTTCTTCTATTACAACAATTTAATCGATTTTATATTTGCTTTATTATATTTGTTTAATTAAGCAATCATGCGGAGTCCTTAGCAACTAAAGAGCGTCCATAACAACAGTACGGCGTCCTTAGCAACTAAAGAGCGTCCATAGCAACTGTACGTCGTCCTTAGCAACTAAAGAGCGTCCATAGCAATCGTACGGCGTCCTTAGCAACCAAATAGTTTTTAATTGAGGTTAAACTAATTACATCACGTTAATCACAATTAATGAAATACCTACAAATTTTAAATAGTCATTACTAAATGAATTATAAATTATTGGCATTAAATGTCTAAAATAAATATTTATACAACCGTACGGCGTCCTTAGCAACTAAAGAGCGTTCATAGCAACCGTACGGCATCCTTAGCAACTAAAGAGCGTCCATAACAACCAAGTAGCTTTTAATTGAGTTTAAACTAATTACATCACGTTAATCACAATTAATGAAATACCTACAAATTTTAAATAGTCATTATTAAATCACTTAAAAATTATTGGCATTAAATGTCTAAAATAAATATTTATACAAAATTTGACACAAAAAAGTATGAAAAAAGTCAAAATAAAAAAGATGCACT